AAGCTCTGTTCCAGTTCCACAATTACCTTTATTACCCTTACTACATTCACCTTTCTCAACTGTATTCCCAATATTACCCTTACTGCCAATAGGGTACTCTTGGGTTATGTTACCCAAGTCACCTTCATCTACTCCCCCACTAACCTCACCATCAATACCCTCACCTAACCTTTCTTCATGTCCACTTTCCTCTTCATCTACCCTTTCTTCATGTCTGCCTCCCTCCTCAACTACATTGTTACCAACCCAACATAATTGTGGAAAAGCAAGTTGGGCAAAATTGACCTCATGATCAACATATATATCAACACAACCCTCAGCACGCACCATGCGCAAAATGTCCCTAATACTGTCATCACCAGCCAAACACTTCAATTTCATAACACTTCCTCCAATTGTTGTGTAATACACATTCTTAATCATAACATCTTCATAGCCAAAACTAACAATTGTATCCATGATCACACCAACATTTAACCTATCCATGTCAAAGGGTAATGCTGTACATTGAGCAGCTTTATACTGAATTGGTGGTCCTGGAACAAATGTCCCGCCATGGAAAAAACACAACACTCCCCAGAATTCATCCGCCATGCTGTTCAATAAAAAATGACAAAAAAAAAAGCATTACCTTTTTGAGTGGCCCACAGATTAACATCAACATTAATATACTACCCATCCCAAACCCACAGTCAAACCTACAAAATGTAAGCACTTTATAAAACCCCAAACCCACCCACAACTTTCTATACAGAAAAAGACACCAAAAGACTAAAAGCAATACTTACTGTCCCTTTGTCCTGATCAACGAAGCCCTTTATCTTGCTGACTCAATTTCTTATTTCGATTTCAGTCTTGAGATTCGCCAAGCAATGTCGTATCCCCTCCAACTATCGATCAAGAGATTCTTCAAGTACTGCCGTAGAGAGACTTGAGATTGGAGAATCGTGGGATTGGTTTTCGTTTACAAGGTTTACAGGTTTACAGGCTTATAAGGCTTTTCATTTCCATTTTTAATCTTCAGTCAAATAGATAAAATTAGGTTTTAGCCGTTTAAGGGTTTTATGGAATTTTATAGGTGGGGCCCAGTTGACGTGTAATGGAAAGGAGAGAAAAATCACCACGTATGATTAAAATGGGCGGGAATGGGCCAGTTCAGCATCCACGCAGGCAAAAAAACCTCCACCGTGTTTAAAATATCTGAGTAAGCACGCCATTAACGGGAAGATGACGGCAGCTGACGTGGCCCGTCAAATAATGGGTTATTTGTCCAAGTCGAAAACTTTGTGGGTGTATTTGTCCCCGTTTTTTGTTCGGGGGTGGATCCGTCCCTGACCCTATAGTTGAGGGGTGGATTTGGGTATTTTGCCCTAATTCAATTCAATGTCAATTTTTCTTTGAAACATTTTTCACATTAATTTCCACAACACAGTAAAGCTCAAAATTTTAAAACTTTCATTTTAAACTTAGAAACTTGTGAAAATTAATATTTTAAAACTATCAAGATTTTTTAAAAAATATCAAATAGGTGCTCAAAAATCAAAATATGAGCACTTTGGACAAATACAAAAAACAAGGCTGTGTAATCTAAAGTAGTTAATGAGAGAAACACTCTCCTCTCACGATTGCTACAGTGCCTCTCCCCCTCTCACAATATTTTTTTTCACATTTTGCCCTCCATTCTTTCTTTCTTGCTTTCTCTCTTAGAATCTAGCTTTATGGTCCTTTTACTCTCCATGTCTATTGTTTGCTACCTTTCCCCTTCTCGCAAAATTTGTTTTACTTTTTTGTCTTCTATTCTTTCTTTCTCCCTTTCTCTCTTAGAATCTAGCCCTTTGATCTTTTTACTCTTTCGTGTCTTTTGCCTTAAGATGTTTTCTTCCTCTTGCTGTGTTTATGCTCAACAATTTCCATTACCATGTTTGATTAGTTCTTCCAAAATTCAGTCAGTTTCACCATCAATCATCAAAAGGAAAAGTCTATTTTGTGTTTGCGCTAGCTTTTAGTGTTTTGGGTTTCTTTGCTTCTCTAAGATTTGGGCACCAAAATAGCAATCCTCCATGTGTCTTTACATTCAGTGTTCGTTACAAAACCACATGGAGCATTATTGCCTTTCACTTCATGCTGATTGCTTCCCATTTAATTTTATTTGTTGCTAATTTGAGTTTGCACTTATAGTGGATTTTAATATTTTTTGGTATTTTTTTTATTTATTTATTGAATTTGTTTATTCTTTTTTTGGATATTGTTATTGCATGTCTATTTTTGTTCTCTTTAGTTTAGGTTTTGGGTTTCAAGAATTAAGGTTGTAGTTGGGACTACATTTTGATGAGATGCATTTTATATGCTTTAATCTCCTATTTAGTCTTCATTTGTTGCTATTTGGATAGATAAGATGTGATTTTTAATGGATTCTACTTAATTTTTATTATTTGTGCATAAAATGACTTGAATGCATAATAATAAAACTTTTTAGACTTAATTGAATATCTTTTGAAAGTTAATGGACTCAATTGCTGGAAGAAAGGCCTCTTTTAGGGACCTAGATGAATAAATTATAATTTATAGGATCAACGTGCTCATCATAGAAGCTAGAGGACCACATTTGCCATTTTACCATTGAAAATTTGCAAAAAGAACCAAAAACTCGACACGGGTTTTGGTGTCGATACCATGCGTTACGCCTTTGGAAAATAGGTGCGCGTGAACTAAACGGCAGTGCTGACATGTACACTTTTTGTTTATACAATTACATTTTTTGTTTCTGTTTATATCGTTTTATGTATAAGAGTGGTTTGTGCTCATAAATAACTTAATTATTGTAGAAGCATGGTCTGAAGAACTATATAATTTTTTGTAATTTGGTGGTTATTTCTAATAAAAAATTGACAGATATTGTTCTTGATGTAATTTATCATGCAACAAGTTCATAGTTAGAATCTTTTTTGCAATTTATATTTGTTGATTGTTATGCATCTGATTGTTTGAATTCACTTATCTTTTTTTCTTAAGTTATGTTTAGTTTAAGTGACATTGTTAGAAACTTAAATTCTAATATCAAATGTATTATCAAAAAAATAGAAATATCTTATGTTTTAAGTATTAAAATTATTTATCATATGGTTACTTAAAAAAAATACCAGCTACATCTCAAATTGATAACAAAAAAAATGAGAAGGAAGATTTGGGAGGGTTTTGATTGATTAGTACTAATTAGTTACTAGTGAGGAACATGTGTATAATTATTAATTTAGCTAGGTAAGGGAATGACATTTTCAATTATCTTGGATTCTTTCTATATTTTCTCACATTCTTTCGCATGGTTCAAGGAGAGCATTTATATTCATTTTTTCTTTCAGCGCCTCTCCGCCTATATTTGTTTTTTGTTGGAAAGCTTCAGCACATTTTATCCTTTATATATATGAAATGTCTGTATATGGATGAAATGTCTTCATATAGATTAAATGTCTTCATTCTTACACAATATTAGTTGTGTGCTTCCTTGCAGTTGCCATTAATTTTTCTGAATTCTATTCTCACGTGAGAGGGTTGTAAATTATATTTATTCTAACAGCATTTTCTTTTTGAGCTGAAGGTAAATATTATATTAATAACAACTAAGGGATTTCCATTACTCATACTGAGAGTACAAAACAAAGACGATCAACTGCTACACTATTCTAATTATATGTTAATTGCAGATGAGCTTCGGAAAGAAGAAGCGGAATGACTGTTTAGGGAAAGTTGCTGTTCCAAAACCAATTAACATTAACTTACCCAACCAAAGGTATATGTAGGCATATGCTTCCTTCCATCTTTGTGGTTTCAAGGTTAGAAAATCATGGCCTGGACTCTAAAATGTTGAAATTGTTCCAAAGTGATGAGTAACACATCTCCTTGTTTTGGTTTTTCATGTTTCTATATTTATTTTCATGATTTCTTTCTATCATTTTAATTTAAAATGTTCCATTAGCATCCATGTTGATCTGTAAATCTTTCCTGCTTCTAATAGGGGCACGCTAAGCTAAGGCAGTAAGTCATCTTCGTCATCTAACGCTTGGGGATCATCAGCGCTGTCCCCAAATGCTGATGGCCAGCGGTGGATGCAATAAGTCAATGACTTTATCAAGAAGCTGGAGAACTCGGTGGTTTTCGATTAGGATGATCTGTGAGGGGAGAACTTGCAGGGTTGGAATGTTTTTTCTAAATAGATTTGTTATAAAAATTCAATGGTTTTTTATTAGAAAGATATGTTTTTAATTGTGTCTCAAACTGCTAATAATGTAGGAGCAAGGTATTGAAAGACCATGTAAATCTATAAAATCTCAATTTTGTTAACCTGTAAACTTACCAAGATTTTACTCTGAATAAAGTATTTCAATTTCTTTAATAAGTTGCTAAAGCTAGATTAATTCAATATTTTGCCAAAACTATTGTCCTCTGGACCGATAAAATGGTAACAGTATGTTGGCCCATTAACAAATCTTATTAGATAGAGTATAAAGCCCAAAACAATTGGGTCATCCACTATTTTTTCAATCTTATGAACAAAAGCCCAATGGCGTATAGCAAAAACTATATTACATCTCCAGAAGAGAGGCTTTATAGTTGTGATACCGCATTTTGCAGAAAATAATACATGGAACTAAATTTCTTCTTATATGATATAAAGTTTGTTTAGTTTAAAAGAAATAAAGCAAAGGGAAGAAGTAAAAGAATATTTTGTCTAATAAAAACTTTAGAGTTTAGTTATTATTTTAATTTGATTGAATCAATTTTTTTTTTAAACAAAAGATGCATGTAATATTATAAATGAGTAGTGTTTGTTAGTCTTTAT